TGTTGATGACTTTCTTGTTATAGTCTCGTCACACGCCATGTTGATCCATTTCTGAGCGGCAGTGATTGTAAATTTGTGTATTCATTCAGAGGAAGACGAAACTATTTGTCAGTGTCCCCGTCCCCTCCCTCCCGCCATCCTGCACACACAAACACACACGCTTTAGTATTGAATCCCATTTAAACTGAATTTCGACATTTATAGCACTGGAGAGGCATTTTAAGTCAGTTTTTTGTGGTCCTTACACAAAGGTCAAAACGGCGAGGTCATATCTTGCCTTGCCTAGGCACGTATCATCTCCAGAACGTAACAAGGGAATTTCATTAAATTTGGTGGAGGGTTCAATCAATGTAATTTTGGCCCGAAGTTGTTACTTTGCCTGATATTTTTCAGGAAACATTTTATGTGCAGACCTATTCTTTGTAATTATTTCAAGCCCCTATTTTTACTTCACTGGTTCAATACTCGAGTAACAAAAAACCGTCACGTGACTGATTTCATGACACGGAACGTCCGGTCCAGTGGTTTGTAGTCCTGCGTCGTAATCGGAATGTCCCATGTTCAAACCTCGGGCAGAAGACTGACTATCACGTGTAATGTTTATCTTAGTTTTCCTCCTTTCTTTCAAGCCAATTCCAGGTTAGTACATTAAATTAGGCTAAGGCCGCCTCCATTTATAAACCTTTGGAATTTATTACCGTTCGACACTTCATAAACAAAGAAATTCAATGGTACGGTATTTTTTATGAAAAGTTATTAGTCACAAACCGCAGTTACGGTGCAGATTGAATCAGAAATGTTTTGCAAGAAACTTGCAGCAGTAGGCGGTATGTTAAGGAGAAAGCGCTTTCGCAAGAGAAGAACAATTTTACGACAGCAACCGATATCTGTCGACCCCTGACGAAATCAGAATGAATAACTTCTTGTGAATATAATCGTAGATGCTCAGTACGTAAAGGTAGAGCCTTATTAACGTTCCTGCCTGTGTCTACTGGACCCTTGAAAGCCAGATGTGTTTCATCGCCTCCCCATGCTGCCATCTATTTCAGAAACTCATTCTGTCGGTTTAGGCTAAGGAGTGGACGGCCAGGGTTCGATTATTCTCAGGGCACAATTTTTTTCTCCGCCACAATAACCAGAACGGATTTGGGGCCCACCCAGAATCCTGTGCGATGGGTATCGGGTTTTCTCCCTTGGGTAAGACGGTCGGGGCGTGACGCTGACTATTCGTCTCCATCTGCGTGGAGTTACTCTTTCACTCCTTCATACGCATGCGCGGCGTGGTATTTGGTTAAACTCAAGGACACTTTTGCTTTCTTATTGTAACTGAAGCTGCCGAATGGCAAATCTCATATTTTTATATGTGGTTACATTAGTGTTGGGATGAAACCTGTGGTTATATTCTTTTGGAAAGAAGGCAAGTGACTGAGTTGAGTGGGCAAGTCTGACGTCATGACAAGGAATAAATGAAGAGAGCGAAGAAGTGGTCCATAAATCAAAATCTGTTAAGCAAAGAGGCATAATATAAGAAGGTTAGAACGTCCTTTTAACCTTAATACATTTATTGTTTGAATAATTCATCATATCAAGTATTCATTTTCATTGTCAATAGTAGCGAGTCTTACATTAGCCTTTTGAAGCTTTTGAAATCGTGGGAATGATAAACATTCCCAACAGCTTCAAAAGACTCTCTGTGTAAGTTACACTTGAATATATCCTAACCGCCTGCATGCCAGGTTATTACTTAAATCATAACAATTTTATGAGTTTTAACAAGTTTAATAGAGATCGTGATATACAAAGAATTATCTTGTTTCCTTGTACTTACGCTCGGTTTATTACTCAGCTGCCAGCTTTATGGCTGTAGAAATAAAACTTAAATCTACTATCCATTTAAAAAATGTATTTTCTTTTAGTCTTATAACATAATAACCAAATGACTTAATGCTACAGATATTTTACGAAAATTTTAAAACCCACAATTCATAATCACTGCTAGTTGGCTGCAGTCCACAAAGTCAAACTCAATTTGTATACGACTGGGTTTCCCACCCACGACTTTTCCCTTGAGGGATAACGACCAAAACTCTTTAATGCCATCGCGTTGTTCCGTGCGTGCTACATGTCCAGTTCATTATTATTTATTTGTTTATTTTAAACCGTCTAATCACAATAAAATATTTTATTAAATATTAAAATATCAAAATATTATTACTATAATTAACATTTAATATTTAAAATATTAAAATATTAAAATATTATTACTATAATTAACATTTAATATTTAAAATATTAAAATATTAAAATATTATTACTATAATTAACATTTAATGTTTAAAATATTTAAAATATATTAAAATGATGCTATTTCTATCGAAATGTTCGATTTACAAGTAGAGCATCATCTTTTTCACGACATGTTTCGGTTTTCAATGAACCATCTTCAGGTGTATAATCGACATAAATATAAATGTAATATTCTAAATGCAATCCTTAGTCAGATGTCCATTAAATATCAGAAAATTATCCTCTTCTAGATCAATTGTACTTTATTATCACATTCAATGTTGTTTCGTAAATGTATGTCGCGTATAGCGTGATCTTGCGTGGGTGAAATATTTGTAGTGGTTTTTTTATAATCGGTCTGTAAATTAAATAATAATTGTTATAAAGACTAAATGAATATTAGAGATAGAAAACAAAATAATATATTGAGGAATTTTAATTTTAAAAACATACCAGAGATGAAGAGTGGATGTAGAAGTAATATTGTGTTGGAACTGAATAGGTTCGTTTATTTGTTTAAATGATTATATCGTCGACATTAGATGCAGAGTGCAAACTGTGGGGCCGTCATGTAATTTACGTCATCCTCCTCTTAGGTCCAAACATTCCCATCAACCCTTCGTTCTCAAACGCCCTCGATCTGTTCTTTCCCCTCAGATTGAGAGACAAAGTATGGCACCCGTAAACGTGGCAAGTACAATTACAGTTTCGTAATATAAATCCTTAGTATTTTAGGCAGGACTCGGGAATATAATAAAGTTTGATCTGAATGGCAGCAAATATTTGCCTGTCAATGAATATAACGCAGTCGCTGGGGGATGTGCCATCTGCCACCCCGGTTTCTGTCGTGTCCTGTACACCAAGATGGCGCACCATGTTCCTGAGAAAGAACACATTTGCAGCGCAGCTGTTACTGAATCATCATCCATCGGCTAACTACCGAACGGGCGAATGAAGCTTTACGGTGAAATCCTCAGACACTTTTGCATTTCAGATCGATGTATTACATACAGAATCCATCGCAACTACCAGCATTGAGCGAGTGTGTAACAGTTTCATTGATACGCACGATATATTTCGTTTTATGATGTGAAATTATTTGGTGTTCTGTGTTTGACCTCGTTGGAGGTAAACAAGTGATCTAATTATTTTCAGGTATTTAACGATTGTCGGGTTCGATTCCCGGCGGTGCCCGAATTTATAACTTGTGTTAGGCAAGGCCGTGGTCTAGGCAACACGGAGTTTTCCTCCGTGGCATCCCAACAATTACTCCATTCACACACAGAAGAAGGCAATGGCAAACCACTTCTGGATCACCTGCCAAGAACGTATATGAACAGGTCCCAGTCCGAGAAAAGGATGGAAGGATCCTGTTCATATGGACCTGTCGTCAGACAGAACACTAATAATAATAATAAAAATAATTATCGCATAGAAACTATACTTTTACACAGAAGCTAGTGGAAGAAATTTGTTTTAAAAGAAACCCCCGTGGAATGGCGTCGAGGTACTCTGGAAGTAAGGTAACTTACTTAGAGGCACAGTAAAGGAGTCGTAACCTAACTTAATATTCACCGTCTGAGTCAAAAAGATTTCAGTGGAACGTGAATGCTCCAGACTGCAGGAAGCTGCAAGCCGCTATCTGTGTATACACGAACGACTTGCAAGTTCCCTATTTCTTTTGCATACGAGTTTGCTTGGACCTGCATCTGTGACATCGCCGTGGGAGAGCATCACTCAGCGAGATAAAAATACGATACAGATTCATATAAACAATGGATGCAGTAAGCGACTGTCAGCCGCGTTAGGTCAAAACTGTCGTAAGCCTACCTGCTTCATATGTAGGGGACTTGCAAATGTGTGTCTTCGTGTAAACTGCTCCCCCGAAAGGTTTCTGCTGTCACGTGTTTGCTGTGGCTGTGATTATGCCAAAATGACGAATGTGGTAACTATTTACTGAGACAATATACGTCGCAAATAAATTATTTTTCTAAGTAAGATTTGAGGTTTTCACGACGTGATGGCTGTCATCTGGGTTGTAGATCGGTGTAGTCTGGTAGAAGTTTACCAACGTTTCAGAGGTCCGTGCTGCCTCCATCATCAGGGCGATATTATTTTTTTATTTTTCTTTGTTCGTCTCTTGGTTGTTTTATTTCTTTCTAGCTCTGCCTGGATGTAGAGGCTAGAGGAAAAAAATCCTCTGCCCCCCGTCGGGGATCGAACCCCGGTCGTCCAGCCCGTAGCTAGTCACTATACTGACTGACATTTAAGTTGATATTGGTTTTCTGGGTTGTAGGTACATATTAGTGTTTTGGATTAACGTACAATTTCCATCTGCCTTGACAAGCTGATAGTCGAAAAGAAGTTTCCAGGTTTTATGTAACCCGAAACTTCATCACCTTTTCCACATAAGCCCACGATTGGACGACATAAGAGACTAAGCCAGTTGAACAACGTGTCTGTCCTGTATTTTCATAACGAGACGTTTTGTCAATACGCCAGTATCCTTTTTAACGTCATATCATAAGCCTAATCGAAACTGACGTATCGATTAATTCCTGTGCCGAGTGAAAGGAATGAATGAACAAGTTGAAAGACGTCCCTGGCATGAATTATTTAGTTTAGTTTCAGTCTGCGTCGTCAGAGGCGCTGTGGTTCTGTCGGTTCGATGCCAGGGTCTCGTAGTACGCATGGCCAGTCGCTGAGCACTCCGCAACTGGTGCTTGGAGCGGCCGGACAGGTTTTTGTTCATATCAATGACTGTGGGGACCCTGCATGGGTCCCTCCTTTACACCAACCGCCGTGGTGTCCCCGTTATTCGAGAAATATTTAACCTGGCTCGGACGAAACGTGTTAATTGTCGTATTCGTCTTCTTTCGTATCTTTTTTTCTTTTTTTACGAAATTTTGTGGGTGTGTCAGGACGTGTGTTACCTGCATGTGTAGTGAGACTTCTCTGATTCTATCATTTTAAATAGGAGAATGTGTGTGGACGTGTAAAGAAAAAGACTACTCAGAAATTGTTGACTGTGGACACGAACTGGAAAATTAAAAACCGCAACTCCTATCCGTGTTTCTTGTTCTCCGATGTGTTTGCGGTGTTCATTTGACGTATGGCGGTTGGTGATTCCCGTTGATAAGACGAGTGAGCAGTTTATAAAAGAAAGAAACAAACGGCTAGCTCATTCCATAGTTTTGTGTAGTCAGCGTACACAGCCCATTGCAACTATTCGCTCAGTAATTGATTTCTTGGTGGTACGTTTTTAAAACATACGGAAGGGGAGGAACTTCAGATTGGTGATTCACGTGTGTTTTGTAACCCTCGTTACCTCTCGCTGTACACTCCCCTCCACAACTCAAGACAAGGACAAATATATACAATGAAAGCCACACAGTAGACATGCTTTTCCAGTTACATTCGGTCGTCTGTGAAGCATTGTTGTCATTTGTAACTAGTTTTACCAAAACGACGGGTGTGTCTAATGATTATTGTCGTTGACATGAGATGATGGCTGCATTGTTGCGACTAGGAGTTTCAACAGTGATGGATATCGATCTCAATTGCAGTGAGACACGTCACAAGACGTGTTATGAAGATGACATTGTTGTAAGTGACAGAAGGACTAGTAGAAGGAATTGGTGTGGCTTTAGAAAGTGTCCTGGGTTCGAACACGGTGGTTGTCGCATCAGTTTGTGTTGGACGGCGTTTTTGATAGTGATTATTGTGCTTTGGTGGTGTCCAAGCTCAAGTTTCGGGAAGCCAGTTCCAGGAACTCTTGACGGTGATCGGAGAGGATTAGGAAGAGATGAGAGTGGCCGACAGAAGAGGGCAATCATTGGCGATAATGTGGTGAGTACTGAATCCAGAGTCGTGCGTCTTGTGCAGCCGGGTTCGAGAAGAGTGGGGACACTAACTCGCGTTTGATCGTCCTTTGTTGGGAGTCAGGGTTTTGAACCTGTGGTCGGAAGACCTGCCCCTGCTCTCCATGCGTGCAATATGCCTCGCCAATGTCATCCTCATTCTTACAATGTTTGCTGAAGAGTACAAATGTAGCTCTTCTTCATGCTGTTTCCTCCAGCCTCCTCTCACTTCATCCGTCTTTGGTCCAGATATTCTCCTAAGCACCGCGTCCTTAGTTTCCTCGTGAATGCAGTTTTTGTCACTGTCGTCCCATTGTTGTGCAACGACAGGATTTTTAGGGTTTTCATTGTTGGGCAACAGTGGAAACTCGAATCACATCAGTGCAAGAGCGACCTAAAGGCCCTGCTATGTCAACGTTGTATGTAACCTTGCATTTCAGACGCCTAACGTCAGTGATTAGGCATTTAGTCCTGATGGTGAATCCGTAATCCGTTCAACAGTTGAAGTTTTTTCCGATCTGTATTTCTTTTGTTGTGTGCATGTTCCGATGTCTAATTGTGTGGGTCCTATGTCCTGTTCTGTCAGTGGTCTTAAAAGCTCTCGTTTCGTTTGTCACTGTTCCGTACCAATAAAAGTCCCGTACGCAGACTGTGTCGGTGGAAACCTTGCGTATGGTAATAAAACTGAATTGAACTTGGTTGTAAACGTGTTGCCTCGCTCCTTTATTGAGCTGAATAAGGCCAGTTTAATGAACATTTAAGAAGAAATTTGCATTTTATGAACATCATTTTTCGCAATGTACGTAGCCATGCATGTACCAGTAGAAGGCTGAAAATGGGGGTTGGTACTTCTGATGAAAATATTTATTCCCTTGATTAAATGGCTAGAAAGAGGGCAGAGGAAAATTTTATGTAGTCTGAAGAACCACACCTATTTAATATACACCGTATAAAAGACGAATATCGTGTACTTGATTTAAGAGTGTGAGAAACGTCAAATAAAATTTGATAATTGGGTGATTTTTTCTCTCACACGGGTCAGAACATAATGCAGAATGTTTCAGAAGTCCCTGTGCAATGTGAGAACATGTGAAGATCGTGGTGATGGTAGCGGCAGCAGTTACCTCTGAAACGTCGGAAACGTCTTCTAGGCCAATGGTATTCAACCTGGGGTACGCGTACCCCCGGGGGTACGCGAAGGCATCTTAGGGGGTACGTGAAATTTAAAAAAATACATATATTATTTTATGATAAACACTGAATAATCAGTAATGTAATTTATTTAATTTATTTTAGATGTAGATTATATACTATGTATAACTTGAATTATACACCAACAACTTTGGGGGTATAAAGTTGAAGAGAAATTATATCTGGGGGTACGCGAACAAAAAAGGTTGAATACCACTGTTCTAGGCTACACAGCGCAGCATCCCAGAAGACAGTCATCTCTGCTTATAATTTATGTATTCGCTCAAAGTAAACGACCACACGTTCATCTCCTGCAATATTTAAGATATAACATTTAAATTAGGCGCTGTGGACCTGGAAGGGGGTCCTCTGTCTATTGGTCCTGAGAGCGACAGGGTTGAAATCAGAATAAAATAAATGGTACGTGGTACGTTGTCGTACTGAAGGATAGACGAACTTTACATGGTTAATGGAGTCGAAAAGAAATCGGTCTGCACCCACTCCGTCGTCAGATTACAGTTCGTTCTGCCACACTACCTTTAAGCGTACGGCACGCAAGATTTCTGAACTATTTTCATACGTTAGTATTGGCGTGTCCTCAGACCGTTAACTAACAGCGTGGAAGCAGTGGCACGCACAATAATTACGTGCCAGAAGTTAAATTAGCCTTACTGCCATTGGCAGTACAAAGTGGTCTCAATCAGTGTCACGTGCTGAAACGAATTCCTATTACCGTGGAGAGCTCTTGAGGACTTTGAATCGATTTTAACAACTTGTGTGGACAGTCTGCGTTGATACCTTACAGGTTATTTGGATACGTGACGTCATATTTGGAGTTGTAAAATACTCGTTAAAACAGTACCAAGATGTGGGCAATGAAAGACAAAATACGAATAGGAGAGGCGGAAATAAGCGAGAACTTAAAGACCAGACCCTTAGCTGGGTACATACGATCACACACATGAAGAAAAGTGTACTATTGTGCACGAGAAACTTGCTTGGGTTCATGATACAGCTGATAAGACGAAGGGAGGGCTGTGTGGATAGGATCTGTGGAGTCTGGTGGTCCATGATAGCACGAAATTATACACACACGCGGAACGTTAAAGAGACGCAGAAGGGAGAATTTTTTGAAGTCGGCAACAAGAAGAATTTGTCTACAGGGTCGGGTGTCGTATTGGAGTGAAATCTCGACGATGGTGGTTGCGCGGTTTTTCGATTGAGGAAGGTGGAATCGAGGGTTGACATTAGACACGATGTTTACGTGCTTATGCATTATTTTTCAAGAAATATATGAAATGAATACGGAATGGCGAGGTCTGTCTGTTAGCATGTTTTATATCTAAGCTTATTCAACGAATTTCGATTAAATTTGATATTGGTGGACCATACTCGAAGTTGATGAGTGACTTTAATTTTAGTCATAGATTTAAATGCAGAAAACTCTTATTTTACTTCAATCCCAAATCTAACTTGCCGTTTCTGTAAAAGAAATTGCACGTTGTATGGAGAATGTATGCGTGTGGTATACGATATTGGCGTTACTGAGATCTGTAACGTTTATTTGAAACAATTTCAGGTATGATTTTTGCAGGAAGAAATATTTTATTCTGTGCAGTGTGATTAGCTTTGCAAGACAGATATTTTAAATTGAATAATATATTCATGTCGAAGCACATGAACAGCAGAGAATGTGATGTATGCAAAATAAAAAAAGAACGCTCGTGTGAATTATGTATAAGCCTGGTCTATTGGATTACGCCTTTCCACCGTTTCTTTGTGTTCGGGGATTATGGAGGGCTTTTGATGGTCCGACCTCCAGCTAAGAAATTCTAAGAATTTAGAAAACGTATGTAAAGGAGAATTCGGCATGGAATTTTGTTTTACGATCATACATTAAAAATAATTAAATGTTGACCCATATCGACTTAGTATAACACCTGCTTAATACCAGCCGGTTATTATTTTGTCGAAAGTGTCTTATCGTTGAGAAAATTGGTTCAAATTTTTGTGTCGTTATTATGTAAATTTAATTAAATACAAATAATATATTTATTGCGCATTCGTTGTGTTTGACTTTACTAGTGTTTTTTGTATCTGCACTAAATGAACATAAAGGCCCACGTGCAAGTACGCGTAGTCGCAAATAGTAAACGTAGGAAGCCACAGAATTGCTTTTAGTTTGTTTTGATTGAACCCGTCTATTGTCTGTGGCGTATCGTTGGAACGGAGCGTCCCGCCTGTGGTCTGTTTACTATTCCTGTGCAGATGGCTCAGAGGGGAAGCCAGAAATAGCCTCAGTAAGGAGTAAGGACAGCCGCTGTAGGGCATGAACCCTTTATCTGCTGATTCCAGGGTTACACTCCAAAGTTCCTACCTGCTGCTCGCCCAGATATTCTGAAACTTAATATGTGATATTTTTTGTTAGCTGGATTACATTAAGAACAAACTGATCGTCGCTTCCGTACAGTTGGCACTCCTGCTCCATATTCTTTACATCCGGTCCTGAGGCGTGCTACTGATGTTTGTACTCTTTTGTTTCCTTCAGAGAAATGGTGAGATAATAGCCTGCCGGTAGATATGCTTTAAAGTAAGCCACGGCCACATCTTAATTCTTTACATTTTATCTTTCAAAATCATTCTCCTCTTCGGTCACAGAGAAAGTTTCGTCAAATAAACTTTAGAGACTCTCGCTACGATATTTGAAGTTGTAAATTTGGCTTAACTGCTCGTATATCGTGAACATTCGATAATGTATGCCCAAACATGTTACTGAGTCGAAAAATAAGTTTAGAGGTTTTATGGAGACTGAGTTTTTTGATGAAATATTATTTGCCGTTAGTTCGTACCTAAATAAGGTGGTAATGCTACAACAATAATCCAGTTCACTTCTTTATTTTTACTACGCTGTATCAACAGCGAAATGGTCCATTACAGATACAGCATATAAAATGACAAAAATAGCAATAAACCCAAAGAAATAAAATTATGACAAAAACTAATACAGAGACAGCGCCAGTAAGCATTAGAACAGAAATTACTTTAGAATATTATTTAAATAAACTATTTGTTTATACTGGATATGTTTACAATCGGTAGTGGTGGCTATGCACATCTAGCCGAGGCACAATTTTTTTCGTGAGGAATCAACAGTGAACAAGAAGAAATAAGTCTCAGAAATTTCTGCTAGAACACAGGTGATAACAGTTTCACGTTTTGAAATGACGATGATGACAGGCTGACAATATGCCTAGTGATGATCATGACGACGATATACGAGGTGCGATCGAAAGGTTTCCAGACTGCGCGTATAAAAACCCGTACATTTATCTCAGATATTAAATTCATCCATCCCCCTCGAAGTAGTTCCCCTGGGAGTGAACACAACGATCCCAGCGCCGCTGCCAAGCCTGGAAGCATCCCTGGAAATCTTTCTTTGCCAGCCTGTCAAGCACCATCTGCGATTCTGCCTGAATCTCTTCTATCGTCTCAAATCTCCTTCCCTTTAGCTGAATTTTCATCTTTGGGAAGAGGAAGAAGTCACACGGAGCTTAGAAAGGAAGTTGGGGTCGGTTCTTGCAAGATCTTTGAGCTCCTGACAAACGAGAAGTCAAGTCGATTCTGCTTCTGGTCCTCAGACAGGATGCGTCGCATGTGGAGTTCTTTCTTTAGAATCAGCTGCCAGGTCCCATAGCCTATCCCAACAATGTCGCACAAGTCGTTGATGGTACGACGTCGATCTTCGTGAATGGCCTGCCGAATCTTCGTAACATTTTCGGGCGTTGTGCTCGAAGATGG